AATGTTCATGACTTTTACGCCTACTTTGTGAGTAATCGATCGTTCTACCTAGGACACCCTGCATATTACGACAAGCATAAATTGAAGAAAATTCCTAGAACAATTTCAAATTAAGTGTTACTAAAAACAATGAAATCCCGTCAGTTATTCGTTGGTGCATCCGATAAGCCAGCATAAGGTTGAACTCGATGTAAATTAATTCTAAAGGGAAAGTAAAACTTGGATTGAATCTGAGCGGGTACAGCAGTTATTTTAGTTTCCAACCTCGTTCATTTTCCATTTGCAGTTAACTAGAATTTAAGACAATACGGCTCCCAGTACAACGGGTTTCGATGCGAGATATAAACATAGAAATATCCAGGTTTATTTTATTGTGGCGATGCGGGTAAACGTATATATATGCGTATTTATACAAGCACCTCTGGAACGACGTTGAATTTATGCTTTACTATAACAGACACGGATTGTAATGGAAATGCAACTTGTGCGAATATCCAAAGTGTCCAAAAAGAATAATAGGTGTTATATTCCTGATATCCTTCGCAAAATTTACGCATTCCTAAACGTACGATTCGATAAAAATGCTATTTTTGAACGACTTGTAGAAAATTTGTCGTATGCTATTAGCTACCATCAAAAAAGTAATTTATCGATAACCTCAGATCTGACCAAGACAATGACCTTAGATGTCATTTGTAGATTCAAGTAGCAATCCTCGTTCTTGACAGCAGATTCGCATCGAGCTCGAGATTTTACATGAGAATCCATTTTCATACAACAAATAAAGCGACCATAATCAGCAGGACCTGCTGAAACGTCTGAAAAGTATACGAGAACCCCAAAAACTTGCATTTATTTGGAAAAAGTTTCCAGAAGGGTTTTAGGATATCTTAAAAGCAATTTGATCATCACCTTAGGATTCCTATTTAAAATCTTAGACTCAAAACGAATCTGCTATCAGAAATGCTTTTTGGTATTTGAATTTGCAAAGTTGACCTCCAAATGATCTCTGAGGTCATTGTCTAGGTCATATTTGAGGTCATCGTCAAATTACTTATTTGATACCCAAAAGGTTTTCTCTGAACCTTTTTCCAAATAATCCATATTGCCGAGTTGACCTCTGAGGCCATTGTCTAGGCCAAATTTTGAGGTCGTCAACAAATTGCTCATTTGATACCCTAAAAGTTTTCTCTGAACCATTTTTCAAATATTGCATGTTTGCCAAGTTGACCTCTAAATGACATCTGAGGTTGTTGTCTAGGTCAAATTTGAGGTCATCGATAAATTGCTTATTTGATGCCCTAAAGGTTTTCCTTGAACCTTTGTCTAAATAATGCATCGTGCCAAGTTGACCTCTAAATGACCCCTGATATTATTGCCTAGGTCAAACTTTAGGTCATCAACCAATTGCTCATTTGATACCCTAAGAGTTTTCTCTGAACCATTTTCCAAACATTACATGGTCGCCAAGTTGGCCTCTAAATGGCCTCTGAGGTCATTATCTAGGTCAAATTTGAGGTCATCAACAAATTGCTCATTTGATACCCTAATAGTTTTCCCTGAACCATTTTCCAAATATTGCATGATTGCCAAGTTGACCTCTAAATGACCTCAGTTGTCTAGGTCAAATTTGAGGTCATCAACAAATTGCTCATTTGATACCTTAAGTGTTTTCTCTGAACCATTTTCCAAATATTACATGGTTGCCAAGTTGACCTCTAAATGACCTCTGAGGTCATTGTCTAGGTCAAATTTGAGGTCATCGACAAATTGTTTATCTGATACTTCGAAAGTTTTCTCTGAACGTTTTTCCAAAGGATGCATGTTTGCCAAGTTTTCAGAATGTTCCTGTACTTTTCAGACGCTACAGTAGGTCATGCGGACTGAACTACTTATGACAGTTTGACCTCATTTGTGAAAATGTATTCTTATGTAGAATCACGAGCCCTACATGAATCTGCTGTCAGACATAGTGATTGCTATTTGAATTTACAAATGACCTCTGAGGTCATAGTCTAGGTCGTATCTGGTGTCATGAATAAAGTGATTTTTTGACATCTCCAATGTTTTCCTGGAACTTTTTTCCATGAAACGTGTGGTTTTCAAGTCTTCAGGGTGTTCGGGCATTTGATAGTATGTATAATGGTTATATCTTATTATTAACACTTATAGAGAAAATAATGATTCAGTCCATTAATTTTCTTAAATAATGCAGCAAAACTGATTCGTACGAATAATGAACTGTTACTTATCAGGAAACCAAAGTTTCCCGGCATCTCTGAGTGGCAGAGACCTAGAATTTCCTTAACAGAATCAGACAAGGTCTCACATGATAGCTGCATCTGTGAGCCATAGTATTTTATTTTGTAGCCTTGGAATGACAGAGTATTAACATATTATATGTATCACTTAATAGCTCTGGAATGCAAGATACAGGAACACTCGCGGATGCAGATATTCCGAGTAATATGATCTTTACTATGAAGTTTGGTTGAGAAATATAATGAAAACAGTAAAAAGCTTCCAAAGACGCTGATCTAGACGCGGTTTTTATTACCCCTAAGTGCTTTCAGAATTCGTTAATTGATTGAGCTATGAGGCACCCATACTATATGGATGTAAGTTAATTTATGAGTAGAAATATAAGATATGATTCCTTAGCTCATTTTAGGTAGAAAAGTTCGTATGAACAGATATCCTAAACCTCTTTACTTTTGAGCTACAGAGAGCTTTAAGAAACAATTCGTTTTGCTATCATAATTTTATTACCGTTCTAGATATTTTCAAATTTGACATGCGCCTACGAAGCACCAATAGGCAGTTTTTGATGTAGAATATTTTCTAATACATCTACCAGTGGCGTACCGGATTTATACAGGAAATTTAAAAAAAAAAACAAATGGTACGCCACCGCTTTTTTCCGGAAATAAAAATGATTTTTTCATTTATTTCACAATGAATTTGACCTCTGACTTTTTCCGTCCATGCACCGTTTCCGCGTAAAAAATAAACACACAGCTTACCTACAAACTACCACATGAGATTTTGCAATGTATGAAAATTGAAAAAACAAGTTTGTAACAAGTTTTGACAATTTCTGTGGATCAAATAAACTTATGCTATTTAATTTAATTATCACAAGGGTTGTTGAAAATGTCCTCCTTCTGTTAGAATATAGGCTTCAATTCTGCTTCTCATGGATTGGCGAACCCTTTCAAAAATTCCAGGAGCATTTGTTATGGTTTGGCAGCAAGAAAGAAAACTTTTTTGCCTTAGTTCCTCTACAGTTTGAACCGGTGACTACACACTAACAGGAAAACTGCTCCTGAGGATGTGCCTCCGTTATTGCGTATGGGTTTTCTTCGGTCCATACATGATTATTATGGAAATTTCGAATGGAATTGCGGGAAAAGTTAGTTCTCGCCTAAAACTACTTCAGTATACTTTTAATGGCCTAGCCTGATGATCATTGATTTTGTAATTAAACCGATAAGCTAACTTGGTGACGTATCTCGTTCGAAGTCTTACAAGGGTAAAGTTTTTGTTTGCTTTCTTTGAATCGAAACTCGTAATCTTATTTTTTCACTCGACGACTTGAATTATTTATGCGGACAAGCTGAAAAAACTGACCCGCCTCCGTCGGAATCAATGCGAAAGCACATCGCTCTCATTGCTGGGGATTTACAGGGAAGTATTCGACATCAAGGATATCGGGATATATGCAGCATAGTTGATGGATGTTGGAATTGATATTAATACAGTAACCGAGCGGTCTATGTAATGCCCATTTTGTTCAGCTACCTTCCGGCTTCTGGAGTCCCACTGTAATTGGTTCTCTTATATGCTTGATTGCAGTTTTATTGTACGGACAAGTTTTTCCTTGGAGTCTCGCATAACGGAGCCCTCTCACTTACCTCTCTTTCAAAATACCTCATTTTAGAATGGCTTAAACTATTGACGGCTTCCGAGATAAGGTTTTATGGAACAACAAAATGGGATCCGATTTTAGGCACCTTCCTCTAGAGCATTGATTCCCAAAGTAGTCTATATCGACCCCTAGGGGTGTATGACAACCTGCAAGGGGTCTACGTCAGCGAAAAAAAATTTGGGGGTCCATGAAATGAATATGGGGGTCCACGATAGTGGATCTCAACACACACTGATAGTACCTATTTACTTATATCATACTATCTTATAATATCAAAACATATACATTATTTATAAAACTACCTATGAAGTAAAAAATTTATTATATATGTTTATAAAATTGTGTAAGTTGTAGGATGTTGGTATTCGCTTTGTGGTCGCAACATATTTTGAACTTGTAAAAACCTGAGAGTCGCAGTCTCAGAGCTTCGCTACCTTGCACTGACTTGCTCAATTCGTCACTCTATAAATACGAATGTGGGACAAATACGTTTATTCGTTTCCTGAATCTTGGAAAGGAAAGTGCTAAGAAAATATTTTAAAAAATATAAACAGATAGTATATCACACAAACTATAGTGAGTCAGTGTTATTTTGTTTGAGAGTGCTGGAGAAAAGTAAGTACATTATTTTTTATTAAATTTTAGTTTTGTACTCGTAGTTAGCAAAGATAGATAAATTACGCCAGTCATGACTTTAGTTATTAGTAGTTAAATATTCAATCATGCAAAATTACACGAGTACTCTTCAATAGTTTCTTTTTGAAAGTTTTAGCAATTGGTAATATAATTACAGTGCAATCTCCGTAATTCGAGCTAATTGTTGCAAGAAGATGTTCGAATTATGGAATGTTTTCGGAAAAATCTAAAAATATTTTTAATATACAGCTGCTGGATTTTCTGTCTTATTTAAATAATTTAATTTTGCCCACAGATGACTGATGCCATGTCCGAATCTAAAAAGAAATGTAGACAGTACAGTGTTGATTATTTGGAATTTGGCTTCATTCCATCATTGCCGGACAAATAATCGCCTATGTGCCTTTTATGCAACAAAGTTTTGGGCAATGACGCTATGAAACCATCTAAATTGCAAGATCATCTGAGAAGATGCCACCCTGATAAAACAGAGAAAGATTTGAAATACTTACAAACAGTCAAAGATAAATTTCAGAAGAGACCAACACTGGACAGAATGTTCGCTTCGACGTCACAAAGAAATGATGATGGTTTGCGGGCGTCTTACAATATCTCGTTACTTATAGCAAAATCCGGAAAACCGCATACTATCGGAGAGAAGTTAATTTTGCCAGCCGTTGAAGAGGTTTTAAAAACTGTTTTACACAAACCTGCATCTGATATCATTAAAAGCAACAATATTGTTGAAAGACGTATTGATGAAATGAGTTCTGATATTGAAAGCTTCTTATGTAATTACATATTTGCAAACGACCCATTTCTCTATACAACTGGACGAGTCAACTTTACCTGATAATGCAGCATTATTATTGGCATATGTTCGTTTGATTATGAATCAAGAAATCTACGAAGAACTGCTCTTCGCAAGAACTTTGATAACCGACACTAAAGGTGAATCAATATTTCATGTTTTGAAGGATTACTTCATTGAAAAAGCAATTCCTTTATCAAATATAATATCAGTAGCTACAGATGGAGCACCTGCCATGGTTGGACGTTATCGTGGATTTATGAGCTATTTAAAACAAAATGTGTCAGGGGTGTTAGCAATACATAGCGTCATCCATCGACAACATTTAGTTGCTAAAAATTTGAGTGTTAGATTGCATGAATCACTTCATTTAGTCATTGATGCAGTCAACCGAATCAGAAGCAACGCGTTGAATACGCGGTTATTTGCGCAGTTGTGTGAAGAAAATGACGAACACTTTCATCAATTACTCCTTCACCCTGAAGTCTGCTGGCTGTCGAAAGGCTTATGTTTGACAAGATTTTTTGCACTTTTTGAGACTATTTTAGAATTTCTGGATACTAAAGATAAAATTTTAAAAGAAAATTTAATGAAGAGGAAAACAGACATCGCCTATTTAACAGATTTGTTTACAAAATTATATTTTTTTAATTTGCAATTACAAGGCGACAGTTTAAATTTGATTAAAACAAAGTCCATCTTATCAGCGTTTCTTGCCAGAGTTAAACTAATGAAGCAAAATATTGGACGGGGCGAATTTTCTCAGTTCCCCAATTTGTCACAGACAAGCTGCCATCAAGAGGACGTTTCAACTTACGTTCAACATTTAAATGCCCTCTATTCAGATTTTGAATCTAGGTTTGAGGACATTTTGACTATGGTAATACCACCGTGGATAATTAATCCATATGGTGACATAGAAGAAAAGAATGTCATAATACAAGAGGAACTGACTGAACTAAGTACAAACGAAGAACTTAAGGTTCAGTTTAAAAACGGATATCAGCAATTCTGGCTGCAAAACAACATACCCGTTACTTATCCCGTATTATGGAATATAGCGAGGAAATTTTTAATTTCCTTTCCATCGTCATACCCAGTGGAAAGGGGGTTCAGCGCTGTTACCAATCTCCTAACGAAAAAAAGAAACAGACTGGACATCATTAGCCGACGAGATTGAAAATTAACCCTTACAAAATTGACGCCAAATGTTGAGAATTGATTATTAAAGCATCAGGTTCATCCTTCTCACTAAAAATATTGACTTATTGCTTATTTTATTTATAGTTTATTTTATGTTTATTGGTGTCTGACCAATAAATCCCGCATTGGGAATAAGTGCCCGCATTGATTTTTTTAAAGAACCCCCTTTATAGAAAATATTTTTTTTTAAATTATTCTGAAAATTCAAGGATAGGTACACACTAAAATTCGTTAATTTTTTGCCTATTTTTAGATAACTTAAACGTATAAAAAGCGGAATTTAATCAAACTAACAGTGAGATCATTGTAGAACATACGTTTATGTTATAATTAATAAACGAACTCGCTTAGTGTACTATTTTAAGTAAAAAACTTTTTTTTATTATTTTTCACTTTTTTTTTATTTCATCCCTCTTATTTTTTTTTTTCAATGCGGGCACTTATTCCCAATGCGGGCACTTATTGGTCAGACACCTGTTTATTTAATGTTATGTATATTTTACATAACAGATACAAAATTTTATTTTGAGTAGTTTTAATTTAAATTCAATTAATAAATGTATAAATTAACATGTGTTTTTACTTTAAGTTTTTAACACTAAACTTCACTACAGTTAGAAATTTACAGGAAATCAATATCAGGTAAGTAGGGGGTCTACCCAACACGGAAAAACATGGCAAGGGGTCTACGACACAAAAAAGTTTGGGGAACTCTGCTCTAGAGAATTAAATTTATTTTTCTCTCATAGTTTTGCGCAGTCAGATATTAGTACATCTGTCCGGATTTGGTATATCAATGTAGCATTCGAGTAACATGTACTCAAGTGATATAAATAGGAGATCAGTCGACTATACAAGGGTGGTCCCAGAAAAATATCATTGTATTAGAAAGTATGCAACCTATAAAGCATATGTGTCAAGTTTGAAGACGCCACGTTGTTTAGTATTTGTTTGGCAGCCATCAATACTAAACGTCTTCAGTGAATTTGTGAAAATGGAGAAAATTGGTCATCTTTATGTGGTACAATACTTTTATTTCAAAAGCCTCAGCCCAACCAATATAAAAGCTGAACTGGATTCTACTCTGGGTGAGTCTGCTCCTTCGTTTACAACAGTAAAATATTGGGTAGCAAAGTTTAAACGAGGCCGTATGAGCTGCCAAGACGAGCATCGCGGTGGTCGACTCCAGAAATGGCGAAGAAAATCCACAAAGCGGTACTGAATGATCGTCGACTGAAAGTGCGCGAGGTAGCAGACATAGTAGGCATTCCAAAAATTGCAGTTCATCGCATATTATCTGAAAATTTGGACATGAAAAAGCTGTTTGCAAGATGGGTGCCGCGACTGCTCACAATCGAGCAAAAACAGTGTCTTAAAGATGTTTCAATTGAGTGTTTAGCGAAGTTTCACAGCAACAAAGCAGAATTTTTGCATCGTTTGGATGAAACATGGGTCTATCACTTCCCACCTAAGAGAAGAGAACAATCAAAACAATGGAGTCAAAAGGGACAACCGGCTCCAAAGAAGGCGAAGACCGTTTCATCTGCAGGCAAGGTTATGACGTCGGTTTTTTGAGATGCGCGTGGGATAATTTTCATTGACTATCTTGAAAAAGGTAAAACTATCAACGGCGAGTATCATGCAAACTTATTGCAATGTTTGAAGGATGAAATCAAGCAAAAACGGCCGCATTTGGTTAAGAAGAAAGTGTTGTTTCATCAAGACAATGCACCAGCTCACAAATCCGTTATTGCAATGGCCAAAATTAACGAACTAAAGTTTGAACTGCTACCTCATGCACCCTATTCACCAGATTTAGCCCGCTCGGATTATTTTCTGTTTCCAAACTTGAAAAAATGGCTCAGTGGTCAAAGATTTTCCAACAATGAAGAAGTGATGTCGGCAGTTATTGGCTATTTTGAGGAGCAAGACAGTTCTTATTATAAAAAGGGTATCGAACTTATTGAACATCGCTGGGAAAAGTTTAAAGAGCTCAAAGGAGATTATGTTGAAAAATAAATACTTTTTTACAAAGTTTTTGTGTTTTCTTCGTTCGGTCGGGTACTTTTGGGACCACCTTCGTACAAATCAGCTTTTTTCGCACCTGACTTTGACCAATTACATCTGTCAGGTCTAGGTTTAACCAAAGACCCTAGTCAGAACTTAGGAAACTCAAAAAATGCATAAATATTCGGCGTTGACATGTTATTGATAGATTTGACAGCACCGCCTGATTTTACACGTAAGAAAAATCCTAGCTTGAATGTTCTCTTACCTAAGTTTCTCTCCTTCTGGAATACCGTTCTCAGTCATCTTCAGAGCGTACAGATTTTTCGCGAACTCCTAGTAAAAGAAGAATAGTTAATTTGTGAGTAGTCTGTCCGTAAACAAAGTCTTACTTCACCATTCTCTGGAGGATCTCCATTTCCAAATGTTGAGGTTACTACTAGAAGAAGAGCTTCGTGTTCTATGCTCGATACGTCGTAATCTTGCATACAATAGACCTAGAGAAAAAAATCGGTCATTTGATAATAATAATAATAATAATAATAATAATTTATTCATATCAATTACAAATTGTGAACAAATGCCACAGAAGGAAATTATCATTGTATGTGGATATCATGCTAACACAAGATATATCAGGCGCAAATCCAGGGGGGCGTCATGGAGGTCATGACCCCCCCAGGCAAATTTAGTTCCACCACCAATTTATAAAGTTCCAAACCTCTCAGATAAATCTGTAAAGCACACACATTAAATGGATGCCGTACTGGTATTTTCTACTAAACACTGGCAGAACTGCATCCGTCAACTGATTTAACTGTAAGCTGATAGATGATAGAGCAAGACTGGTTGCCTATGCGGTCAGTTTGATGAAGGAAAAGCTTCTTCGCGCGCGCTTAAGCTGTGAGCAAATTTGACAAAAAATACTTTTTGACAGTGGTATGATCGGGGACAGACGGCAAATAGTGCGAATAACATAAATTACTGCAATTATTGACAAACAAAATACGGGAATGGAAACTTTGAAAGTTGCATGATAACTGAGAAATTAATATCGAAATTTAATGGCATATTAGTGCAATCGTACATCAGCCTGGTTTTTGCATTTAATAGTGCGCACGGGCATGGGACAAGTTGTAATGCGCATCGTAATTTTTTGAAGTAAATTGAATTTGATGATTCACCAACAAACTTCTTGTGTACAATAGAGTTTAAAGGTTATCACGGATGCTACTGATAAGTAAAGGGCGTCGGGTCAAATTACGAAAAAAGACCAAATATGATTGATAGTTGTTGTCGTGTTTGCCGTGATTAATATTTCATTGAAAACAAACTTGGTGAAAAACACTAAAATACGTTAAATAACGTGCATTAGTAGAGGATATATACTGGGCACTATTTGCGAAAGTGATATTCTCCACATTTATCGCTACTTGCAAATTAATGACGGCAACTGAGAATAAAAAAATTAGAAAGACCTGCACAAGTAACCGAAACAAGCTCATGGATAGTGCCAAAGTTAATCTGATGCTGCTTCAACGTCCCAAATAAAACAGCTAATTCTATTGTTCAGATAAAGTTCGAACTACAGATTTTGCTGGCAATAAGGATGTCACATTTTAACAGGGGCTTACAAGTATATGCACAATAGTACTGCGCACTGTTTCCTCTGTTTTTTTACTATATGTGTATATAACCTGAATCAAGTATAGAGTGTGAGATCAAACATTTTTTATTCAATACAAAATAACAGAATTATTCTAATTTGAATCTGCGTCTTGCTTTTCGTTCAGCAAAAACTTCCATCGCAGAATCCAAATTGAGTGTATTAGCTGCTGATCTTTCGATATAGAGGTTAGATAAGTTGTTGAGTGTGTCTTTAGCCAAAGAAGCTGCCGCTCTCTGGAAAACTGCCTACAAAATTGTTTGCAATCATGAACTTCAAATAATCAAGCGGGCTTCTATGCAATTGATAATACATTCAAAAAATTTCTTTCAAGATATTATCATGAAGAAAATAGATATGTCATCAAATAAAAAATGCACAGTACTGTGAAAGTTTATGGTTATAAGCAATGAAGACGTGAAAAGTCTGTAATAGACGCATATCACGAAGATATTTATTTACTGAACATTATGTGCCAGGTAATAATATATCACTGTAAGCACAATGAAAAAATAACATCTTCCTGGACATGAAGTTTTTGGACCAGTGTGACCCCCTCCCCCCAGACACAAATCCTGGATCCACCGTTGAAATACATATAACATAGCAGTTATAAGAAACTGATTGGACTAAAAAAAGTCTATATAATATAAATGTATTTTCGATCGTAGACTATCAATGAAGAAAATATATGTGTTAGTCTTTTATAAATTATATCATGTTTATATCAGTTTTCAAAAGCCACTCGTATATATCTACTTTTAATAATGATATTCGTTTTTTTCTAATATGTTTTGGTAAGTAATAATATAATTTTGGACCTAAGCATAGAGAAGGTTACAATTTTGTTTATTTTTTTTTGCGCTGTAACAATTATCTCTTTATTTTTATTTCTAGTATCATATTAATACTTTTATACATCGTCGAATGTTAGTTTTTATGTAATCCTAGTATAATATTACACCAAAATAATTTTTTTATATCTAAAAGTTTTGATTCTATAAACAGCGATTTGGAGGCATATAGTACAGGTTTATTATGAATTGTTTTTAGGAATAGTTTTTGTATTCCTTGTAAAGAATTTAGATGGTTACTATTCGTGGATCCCCAGATAACAATTTCATAGGTTACGTGGTATTCAACTAATGTTTGATATTAAATTTTTTATTGAGTTTAATTGAAAATTCGTCTGTAATATCTGAATTTATATAATAGAAATCTCAGCTTATTACGTAACTGGCAGTATAAGTCAATCTACAGTATTTCAAAATAATATCGAAATGGTGTAAATTGATTTGAAGTTATGCCATTGTCTGACTAGAAATAGTAAATCCCTCTATAACTAAAGCACCGCCGAGCGTAAAAATTAAAAATTACTAATATACCAAGTTGGAGAAGCTTTTTAATTTTCCATTGTCCTTCCAGAAGTGGTTGCACAGATAATGGTAACATTATGCTTCTTGACCGATTCCTTGCTGATTCAGAAAGCGAAAAGTAGAGATGAAGTTCATCGACAATGCCTACTTAGAGTCTAGTCAAATCAGATTTACTCCGAATCAAAAATTAACAGGAACACTCGATCGTCGCCTATATTCACTTGACGCTGCCTGTCCAGGCATTTATGACAAATAGAAGCAGGCGGCTTTGAGATAGTTTTAACGGAGCCGTAAATGAGATTTGAATATACTAGAGATATATCTTGCATTTCTCCTAAACCCTTTTGAGCTTCCTCTGGCATCTTAGCTGACTTAAGCATGAAGCAAATTAACGTTTCGGCAATTAGGCAGTAGTAGGCCGTTTTTAATCCATATTATCATATCACACCTATTTTACTTTTCCTTTGTAGCCACAACCTTCTGCTGTAAGGATTTTCACCTCTTTTTTCTTTTGTCAGCAAAAGTCACAGAAAAGTTTGAGTGTTAATCGTTATGGATTTCAGCACTAACGTAGGATTACAATTTTGCAGACCGTTGTAAAGCCGCCGACAAAGCGAGACGTTCATTAACAGCTCCTTTTTTTATTGCTTTTGACTGCTTATCCCAAGGAGACAGAGAGTGCTTTAAATCTTCTGACAGAGGTTTCAAGGTATCACACCGTAAAGCATTAAACAGCAAATGAAAAAGTGTAGTAGAATAGTAGAAAGGAAAGGTAAGTATCTCGAGCAACACGATTTTTGTTTGTCGAATTTCTTCATCAGACCATGAAACAATGAAGATGTTATATCATGCACTTATAGAATGTCGTCTAAATTATGCCATACTAGTTTAGGGTGGTGCTCTTACCAACCAAATTAAGAAGCTATGAATAGTCCAAAATCAAGTTACAGAAATTATTTTTTCTGGGTGTTACACTTCTAATGTTCTAAAGAAACAAATGCAAAAAACCTGGCAAAGAAAATACACTGAAATCTTAAAGGTTAAAACTCTTCAAATTCTAAATATTCCTTATGTAATCCGTAAAGCACTTCTTTACTTCACATGTGAAAGTTTTTTGATCGGTTATAACCTGCAGTTGTCTGCCAATATATATATATATATATATATATATATATACTAAGTGACATATAAATCCGAACACCCAGTTTAAATGGTTTTATTTTAATAAAATTTTGTAACATGTGGCCGGGCATTATCCTGTTGGAAAGTTGGATCTGCCAGGGTGTCAAGATAGGGTAAAAGATGGGGTTCTAGAACTTCGTGGATATAACCCTGCGCGTTCACGTTACCTCTGATGAAGATTAAAGGTGACCTGGAACCATAAGCTATAGCACCCCAAACCATAACTCCAACAGTTTGATGAACATGTCTTTCAATAAAAAACTGTGGATTCCTCCTTTCACCACGTCGCCTTCTAACCCTGGCACGACCATCATGCATGCCTAAACAAAATCGAGACTCGTCACTAAAGACAATACTGTTCCATTCCTGATCCCAGAGTGACCGTTGTCTGCACCACTCAAGGCGATTACGTCGGTGTTCTCGAGTTAAAGGGAGGACCCAGTGTGGCCGGTATGAAAACAAGCCAAAACTTCTCATTCGTCGGTAAACACTTCGCATGCCAATAGGTCTTCCGTGTTCTGCAAACCATTCATTTGCAATGGACCTGGTAGTGGAGAAACGGTCCCTTAAGGCCAATAATCTTAGGCGGCGATCTTCACGGTCTGTTGTTCTACGGCGGCGTCCAGTGCCCCTTGCTCTTTGCGTACGGCCTTCTCGAAGCCATGCCCGACAACACCTAACCACAGTGTCTACACTTCTTTGCACTATAACTGCAATTGCCCGAAAAGAAAGTCTAGCTTCCCGAAGTCCCACTATACGGCCCCTATCAAACTCACTAAGTTGACGAAATCGTACAGGTCTCCGTACTCTAGGCATCGTAACCGATCGTAAAGGATGTCAAGAACCAAAATCCGCCAACGTTGATTCTTTACTGCGGCTGAAATATTCATTTTTAGAGCGTTAGTGAATAAAAAAAAGCAGTATAAAAACCGGAATGTCCAACTGATAAGGCTGAAAATTTTTTCACTTGTTATTTACAGTAAAATAAATACATTCACCAACTTTTATTAAAATAAAACCATTTAAACTGGGTGTTCGGATTTATATGTCACTTAGTATATATATCAGAAATATACCATTTAAGCATATTTGCCATTAAAGTTAGTTCGGTAGAATACGACTGAAATTAGTAGATCTACCGAAAAACCTGTAGACCTGAAAACACATAAGTACTTGTAAGTCTTGTAAGGCACCGTTCCTCATCAACACGGCGAAATTATCGATTTAACACTTTAAAATGACGAGAAAAGGTCCTAATCGTTTCAAAGAAACGGCGAATTTTACCTGAGCATTGAAAGCATGTCCGAATATTTCTCCCAGCTTCTTGGCGTAAATCTCCGACTTTCCGGTCTCTGTAGCGTAAAGGACGGTAGCCTTGATCCTTCGTGAGAGGGCTCGACCAAACAGCTTCGAGGTGAACTTCACAGCGCTGTAACGAACAAACCGGTTAGAGAAAGAAATAAAAAACAACTCTTAACAATGGGACTAATATGTCCATCAAAAAAGTAGATTTTTAGGCCTTTTGCCAATCTTGGTCAAAACTGACACCATATTTTTGAGCTATACACCTTATTTCTTCTAAGCAGTCGCGTAGACCTAAAAACCGGGGCACCGCGACTGCTATAAAAAACTTAAAGACCATCTGTTATTCTGCCCAAGGTTAATAGTAATGTGAAGAACCTGCTTTGGCAGACTGTTGCACTATCTCGGCAGCCTAGGAATGAAGGAGCGGTCGTACTAACCGGATTTGAGGTTGTAAGTACATTTTCAGAGATTTTCTTTAATAGTACTATATCTTCAAGCCTTCTTAATGCACAACTTCCATTTTTACCTCCTGTTACAGGCGAACGGAACTCGATATACCGAAAAGCTGTGCAGCTATTTTTCGGCTGCAATAATTATGATAAGTTAATAAAAAGAAAATTGGAAAGTAGGAGGTATATCTACATACCGAGCAATTTGTTTGAAATGGAATTTCCTACGAGGCTTCTTGCTTTTCCCCGACTCCCTGCCCTTTTTCCATATGTGACATTTCCATGCAGGTTCCTGAAAAGGAAATAGAAAAGAATGTAAATTTTATCTCCAAACAAGGCACTGGGGCTTTAAGGAACGTTGAATTTCTCGCAGAGCGCAACAAGATGCTGCGGTGGCCTCTGCTGGGGCAGGTTTTCCAAGGGATTTCCACTAAGTCTCTGAAAAACAAATCAGCTCCGACAATTGAGTCAAGCAGGTTGACTGAGTATTTTCCATACGTCCCTACACTTATTTTTTGAACGGTATAAGTTAGGAAGATGAAATTCGGATAATGACCATATTTTAGCATGGAAAAGTCAGTTGAAAATTTCAAGACAGTGTCTGGGCGTCAATTTGGAATATTTATTTACTTGGAATGAGTCACGTGATGCCACATTTTCTATGTTGTATTAGTATTTTATAACGCGAGCATGAATTGACTATGTATATTTCAAAACTGTGGAAAGGCGGACTGTCAAAGTTTAGTGTTTTGAGAACTGAATCATCACATCTATGCTTCTCAATCTTCTTTTTTTTGTAAGAATATATCTGAAAATACAATAAAATATTGAAAAAGGGGGAATTCCGACAACTATTTTAAACAAAATATTACACACTTTACTATACGTACCAAAAGAAAAAGATTGTCACAACGTTCTATAGCATTTTGAAGACTATTTGTTGAGGTATAAATGTCCTGACAACCTGGACCGCCTGTCAGACCGCCATTTTGGAAGAGGGTAATTTGGTCTTCTAGGGTTATAAATTACTCATCAGGAGCTTCAAAATGAGGTATCACGAGCCTCACTATTCCATTAAAAAAAATATACGCAGTTCGCGTACTCTCTTTTTTATACCCTAGCTGTTAAAACAACCATGTCCTGTGCAGTACAGTAATCTATACGCACGCCAGGGCTATTACGTAAACTCAAAAATGACATTATGCCGGTTTTTTACATTATGGCGGTTTTTTGACATTATATAGGTTTTTATAACATCATGAATGTTTTCCTACAAGACGTCGTTCTCTTCTTGCTGACTTGTAGCAAACGCGGAATGAACTATTTACACACTAACTTACATAGTCAACAAGTTGACATTTATCCTTTATTTTACATTATATAGGTTTTTTACGTAATAACCCTGCTGGTAACTTGTCAATCCTAGTTTTAATGTCTAAGATCAATCTTCTGGTCCATGTATACTTCTAACTTTATCGCCCTCTTACCGAGAACGCATCTCTCCTCAGCAAGCAGATCAATTGGCGGAATACCGGCCACCGCCAATAGTGCAACGGTCGACACTGTTCTGTATACGCAGACCACGTGCAGCACTATTTTTCTCTGGCTTCTGAGTATATTCCTTTTTCCTCTAGGGCTTGTTATAGACACAGCATTATTAAGTTTAACCTCCCCCCGCCAAAATGTTACGCCTCTCACTACTGGAGCCTTCATCAAGCAGCATTAGCCTTATCAGGGGTGCAACGACCTTATCTACCTTATCAGTGATACTTCGTTTGCGTTCCCAACCTTAGCCTAGCGAAGTTACCTTCTGTTTGCCATTAAGTAACCGAAAGCGATCACACTCCGTTCTTCTCAGGAGCTAATTTCAAACCATTTCTTCCATCCATATGGTAATTCTCATAATTGCATATGCCAAAGGTCTTTCTAGTGCACATCTCTCTTTGCTAGTCACAACAAACGCAGTTGAAGGTCGGTTTCTGATACTTCAAGCTCTTCGAGAAAGGACAGTTCTTGCTACAGCTTTGACTCGAAGATTGGATGATGTTCAGGTACATTAGCGAGTGTTTGGAAGAACATGTGGTTCCTCGTATACCATTTATAAGAGAAAATTTTCTCCTAAAGCAAGATGATGCTCGGTCGCATATAGCCAGAATGATTAGGCAATACCTCAATGATGTTGTAATTCAAGTACTAGACTGGCCGCCAAGGAGTCCGTATCTCAACTCCATTGAGCACATGTGGGATATATTAGGAAGAAGGCTTAGGCAGAACTATGGAGAATTTCAAACTGACACACATCTTGATATCATAACTTAATTTATTAAATTCGTACAATCCCTTTTGAAATACTGACTTGCTCGTTATATTGCTACTGCAGTTTTGTCAATGAAAGCCTATACTTCCTCTAGTAGAATAATTGTGGCACTCATTGTTCAATACAATAAAATTTCCTAAGTGATTTGGTAGAAGATGATTTTTCAACTTGAATATGAAAATGAAAACCAAGTAGGCTATGAAATTTTGATATTCAAGCATTCTAGTTCTTTCAGCATAAAATTTATTCTAGTATATTTATTTTTATTTAAGATTATTCTCATAGCTTTATTTTGTAATATTTGTAATTTTGAAAATAAAGTTTCATTTGCAGTGAACAAAATAGTCGAACCATATAACAAATGAGGAAGAATGATAGTGTTGTACACAATTTATTTAGAATAAACGCTCAGGTTATGCGAAATTCTGTAAAAGCAAGTTATTGTCTTAGATATTTTTGAAATAATATATCCATAGAGCCCTTCAAATTTGCTGTCTACGTATATGCCTAAATATTTAAATGATTCGATTGACACAATTTTTTCATGATTAATTGTAAGATTTATCGTATTTTCATGTAAGGATTTTCCTATTAGCATATATTTTGTTTGTTTGTGTTTAGTTTCAAGTTTATCACGTTCTTCATATCATTATTTAACAGCCCTATTGTAGTAGTTTCAATGTCTTTATTTGATATATATATATATATATATATATATATATATATATATATATATATATATATATATATATATATATATATATATATATATATATATATATATATATATATATACAGGGTGTCCGCAAAGTTGGGGTTTTCCTTTACACGACGTGTAGATCTTGAAAACATAAGCAATATTTCTTAGTACCATATACACCAATGTATTAAGGGAACCGAGATAAAGGGCTCTGCAACATCTAAAATATCTGAATACCCTCCTGTAGCCGCGACATCACCGACTGGTACAAGGTCACTGGCTCAACACGGCGACAGAACTGGGTCGGGGTCAGTGTGTCAGGTCAGTATGCAACCTTCAACCGACGGTTACGGTCACGCGTGTAGAGGTAATCGCGTAGACGAAAATCCCTGAACAAGCACTAGAGACGTGGCTAGAGAAGTGCAATATCAAAAACTAAAGTATGGCAAACGCGGCGTGAAACGTGTACAAGCCCTTCAACCTGACGATTTTCCAGCAAGAGTGGGGTTTTGTGAGTGGTTGTTGCATCAACATGACAATAATCCGGACTTTTTGAAGTGCATATTGGTGACAGACGAATCTACGTTCACGCGTAATGGGGTGAATAACTTTCGCAACACTCATGTTTGGTCAGTAGAAAATCCGCACGCTGTCCGTCGGGCACATTTTCAACAAACATTTTCGGTGAATGTTTGGGCTGACATGGTGAACGGTATGCTCATTGGACCATTTATTCTCCCAAATCGATTGGACGGGATGCAATACCTAGACTTTTTACGCAACATTTTGCCTTCCTTGTTAGAAGATGTGCCATTAAGTGTAAGACAATCAATGTGGTTTCTGCGTCTGCTCAGTAGCGCATCAGCTGATTTCATTTTCTGTTGGAGCGGTATGATTTCGGGTAGAGACGTACTTAGCCCTTCTCGTCAACTGGAGAGTGACTACTTTTTCCTTTATTTTTTTTACTTGGTCGCCCTGGTTTCACTACACATTACCTTTGTTATTTCAAAGGTAGTTGTTTCTGAAAAGGAAAACCCGAACTTTGCGGACACCCTGTATATATATATATATATATATGTATATATATATTAATGTATCATCATCAAATAGTTGAATTTTGCAGTGTTGCAAAATATCATGAATGGACCTAATTTGCTACCCTGTGGCACACCTACCGAAATGTTTTTAATGTTTGATAACGTATTGCCAATTTTAGTTCTTTGACTGCTATTGATTAAATAATTTTGTAATAAGTTGAATACTGGACCTTGAAATCCATAGCAATGCAATTTCGTTAACAATTGCTCTCTGTCAATAGTCTCAAATGCTCTCTTGGAATCTAAGAACAATGTTACTGTAAACTTCTTTTTCATCCATATCTCCATTCTTCTACTATAATTTGAATTGCTGTTTCAGAAGAATACTTTTTTTGAATCCTGCTTGAAATTTTGTCAATATCTTATTTTCTTCAATATGTTCAATGACTTGTTCATATAATGATTCCTTCTAAGAGCTTCCCGACATCTGGCTGAACACTAATTTGATATCAATTTCTAATTACCTATGATGTCACTGTATTTTTTTACGTTAAATTGTTCACGGTTATGATTCGCATAGTTTTCTTACCAATTTAGTCACTCTAATTTTTTAAATTAAATTGTTTATGGCAATGATTCGCATGGTTTTCTTCAAAACAGCATATATTCTTCAATAACTGAGATATTGACTTGAATAAAAAAAACTGTTGAGAAAAGTTGAGGCATAAAAATCTCATACATTACATACATACAAGACACATTATTCGGTATTCAATGTTGCCACAGGGTGTTCAGAAGCTTAGGGCAAAATGCACCTTTTAGTTATAACCTGTATAACAAACATTTTCAATTTTTTTGCAAGATCTCAGTATATGATAATGAAATTACCTACAACTTGACGAAAAAATTAACGAAATTGATGCAAAGATTAAAAAGTTACTTTAAATTTAATTTGGTAGGTGGTAGATAGTCTATGACTGTCGAACGCGGGGGTACCACCCGGCGGATCTCGTAGGCGGAGCCAGAATGTGTACATGTTGCATGCACACGTGTTCCCTCGCCAGAGTCCGTGTGGCGTTCCCCCTTTCCCCTGTATCCCCCTATAGCCCCACGGTACCCAATGGGTGTTTAGGCCTTAGGTCTTCGTGGTATTTCTAGAAAAAGAAAAGAACAAAATTTTGTTTGTCCGGTTAATTTTGCATGGCAGTGTATAAAGCAGCGGTACTTATAGTGTTAATCGTTATCGTTTAGCGCCAAGATGTATGTACAA